CCTGCACCCACTCAGCCCCCCAACCCTACCCCAAGTCTAGCACTCAGCCAGCCCCCCCAGACCTCACCAAGTCCTGCACACACTCAGCCCCCAGAGCCCACCTCATGTCCTGCCCCCACCCCATGTCCTGTACCCACCCATCTCCCAATCCCACCCATCCCCCAACTCCACCTGAGGTCCCCTGCCATCCCTACCCCCCCGGGAGTACTTACTTTCTGGGTGGAGGGTGTGGAGACAGCAATCCCCATACCAGAGCCCGGGAGGACTGAGAGGACCTTGTACTGTAAGGGGGGGTGGGCACAGGTCACCACAGGCTGCTCCCAGGACAGGCTGCAGTCCCCACCCAGAGTCACCCTCCACAACCCACAAATGCAGGCTCCCCATGATGTGAAGAGCCTCAGAGAATAGGGTGACTGGAGTAGCAGAACACAGGGCCAGGCCAGGTGAGTGGCCCAGGGCACAGGACTGTCACCAAGAGGCGCCCAGTTCAGGGCAGGCTGAGATCTGGCCTGACCCCAGCACCATCCAGTCTCACTGATCCTGCCTTTCCCTTCTCTGGTGGGAGACCTGCCCGCCCTTCCAAGGACACTGGGGGCCTGAGAACCTGGTGGGCCATCCCCTGTAGGGGCTGAGTACAGGTCAGAGGACACCTCTAACCCACTCATGTGACAGAGGCAGTAACACTGGGTACCCCTCCAGCTTCCAGTGTGCCCCCAGCCCCAGGCCCTGTGACCTAGAGCCAATGGGAGGCAGGGAGGGGCCCCCTGGGGAGGTGTAGGCCCGTCACACCCACCTTCTGTATGTCTGTGATGTCCACCAGCTTAATGACCTTATTCCGTTTTGAAGACCCCGATTTGGAACTCTCGAAGCACAAGTAACTGGACAAGGGAGGGCAGACAGGGGTGTCACTGGGGAATGAGGAGGGGCAGAGGTGCGACGCTGGGGTGAAGGGACGGGCAGAGGAGTATTGGGGGGTGTGAATGAGGGGAGGGACAGGCAGAGGTGTGACTGGTAGGTGACACTGAATCGAGTTGAGTCTCATCGCGACCCTACGAACAACAGACATGAACCCTGCTGGACCATCCCATCTCCCGCATTGCAGCCCACTGCTGCAGTCACCTGTCACTCCATCTGCTTGAGTCTTCTGTTCTTTCACCAACCCTCCCCCTCCCTAGCACTGTGTCCCTTTCCAAGAACTAGTCCCTCCTAGCAACATGCCGGAAGTATGTGAGACGAAGCTTTATCACCTTTGCCTCCACGAAGCCCTTTGGCTGCACTTTCTCTAAGACATATTTGTTTGTCCTTAGGGTCGTCCGTGGGATGTTCAGTACTCCAACACACAGCTCAAAAGCCTCAAGTCTTCTGTCATCCTTATTTACTGTCCAGCTCTCAGATACATAGCAACCGATTGGAAAGACCGTGGCCTGAATCAGACACACCCTAGTCCTCAAACTGACATCACTGCAACTCAGTAATTTGGTGAGGTCCCTAACTGCAGACTTTCCAATGCAATACATCTCCTAATTTCCTGACTGGTGGTACCAAGGGTGTTTAATGTGGATCCAAGTAAGATGAAATTGTTGACGGTTTTAATCTTTTCTCCATGTATCATGATGTAGCTTATCGGGCCAGTGGTAAGAATCTTTGTTTTCTTGACACTGAGAAGCAATCCATATTGAAGGCTGTATTCTTTGATCTTCTGCAGAAAGTGCTTCAAGTCCTCCTCATTTCTGCGAGCAAGGTTGTGTCATCTGTATAACGCAGGTTTCTGATGAGTCTCCCTCCAATCTCGATGTAACATTCTTCATAAACGCCAGCTTCTCACATAATCTGCTCAGCATACAGACTGAATAGGTATGGAGAAAGGACACAACGTTGACTCACACCTTTCTTAATTTTAAACCAAGCAGTGTTCCCTTGTTCTGTTTGCACAGCCGCCTCCAGGTCTAGGTATGTTTCACATGATCATAACGGAGTGCTCTGGGATTCCCAATGTCAGCCACAACTTGTCATGATCCACATTGTCAAACACCTTTGCACAGTCGATAAAGCACAAAGAGACATTCTTCTGGTATTTACTTTCAGCCAGGATCCGTCTGACATCAGCAATGATATCCCTGGTGTCATGGCCTCTTCTAAATGCTGTCTGAACTTCTGGCAGTTACCTATGTACTGTTCTAGCCATTTTTAAAGTATCTTCAGCAGTTTTGTGCTTGTATGTAATACTGATGATATTTTTTATAGTTTTCACATTCTATTGGATCACCTTTACTGAGAAAGGGAATAAATATGGACTGCTTCCAATCCGTTGGCCAGACAGCCATCCTCCAAATTTCCTGGCATAGACTGGTGAATGTATCCAGGGTTCTATCTGTCCAAACATGCCAAGTGGCATCCCATCAACTCCTGGGGCCTTATTTTTTGCCAATGTCATCAGCGCAGCTTCAACCACTTTCTTCACTGGCTCCTGTTCATAAGGTACTTCCTGGAACTGTTCAGTGTCAGTCAGTTCCTTCTGGTTCAGTGACTCTGTGTATTCCCTCCATCTTCTTTTGGTGTTTTCTGTGTTATTCAATATAGTGCTCATAGCATCTTTCAATATTGTGACACAAGGCTTATATTTGTTTTTCTGTTTTCTCAGCTTGAGAAATGCACAGCGAGTTCTTCCCTTTTTATTCTCCAATTCCGGCTCTCTGCACATTCTTTTAAAGCACTGCTTCTCCAGCTGCCCTTTGAAATCGTCTGTTCAGCTCTTTTTCTTTGGCATGTTTTCCCCATTTTGGCTTCTCAGTGCTGTAGTGCAATTTTCAGAGTCTCTTCTGACATCCATTTTGGTTCTTTCCTTCTCCTCTGTCTTTATACTGACTTTTTGCTCTCTTCATGAACGATTTCTTTGATATCATCTCCTAAGTCATCTGGTCTTTGATAACTGGCATTCAATGCTTCAAACCTATTCTTAAGAGGATTTTGACATTCAGGTGGAATAGCTCCAACATCATATTTTGGTTCTCATGGCCTTGTTTTAACCTTCTTCGGCAGGTGTGGTAAAGGGAGTGACAAGGGGCAGAGGTGTGACCTGGGGGGTAGGGAGGGACAGGTAGACTTGGGAGGGGTGATAGACAGGTGTGTCCTGGGGGGAGGGACAGGCAGACTCGGAAGGGATGATGGCAGAGGTGGGGGGGAGGGTAGACTCGGGAGGGGTGATGGCAGAGGTGTGGAGGGGGGAAGGTAGACTCGGGAGGGGTGATGGCAGAGGTGTGGAGGGGGGAAGGTAGACTCGGGAGGGGTGATGGCAGAGGTGTGACGGGGGTGGGGGGTAGGGACAGGCAGACCGGGAGGGGTGATGGCAGAGGTGTGTCCCTCCCATGGGACACGGGTTTCACTCTCAGGCTGTCTCACAACTCTGTGGAATGAGCAACCACTGCTGTACAGAAACTTGAGACATAGATGCCAGCATGTCCCTACGCCAGTTCCTTCGGGTGGGGGGACAGCGAGGGAGGCAAGGGTGGGGTGGCTGCTGTAGGGTCGGGGAAGGGAGGCCGAGGACCCAGCAAGGCTCAGAACACTCCTGATGTCCACGGTGGATGTGGCCTGAGTGAAGCCCCCCTCCCCTGGCCTGGTCAGAGAAGGTGGTGTCTCTAGCCACTGTCACCCACAAAGCAGTGCAGGGACCACCCCGTCCTGAGGCAGGGATCTCAGTCCTCCTAAGACCAGGGTGTCCCAGGCTTGAGGAAATGAGGGAGCAAGTGGGGCTCCACCCCGTGACCCCCCAGCTGAGCTTCAGCATAACTGAGGGCTCTCTGCAGGGGTCCCCCCGGCCTCAGGCCGCCCTCCTCCCGCGACACTCAGCTGCACTCACTTCTCTGTCACATAGAGCACGCCGTTCCGGATATAGTCCGTGGGCATCTTGCGGTCCCTGTTAATGAGGCAGCAGCGCCAGCCGCTCTCACACACTGTGGGGAAGGGGACGGGTCACAGTGAGGAGGACACGGCCGAGAGGACACCCCACAGCACAGCAGGGTCCGGCCTGCCTGACATGCAGCTGCTGCAGATGGGGACAGGGTCACAGTGAGGAGGACACGGCTGAGAGGACACCTCACAGCACAGCGGGGCCCGGCCTGCCTGACAAGCAACTGCTGCAGGATGCCACACTGCCCAATGCTGCCCGGGGTGGGGGACAGGGACAGGTGGGGATCCAACACCCGGAGTATGCCCTCCCTCACCCATCGGCCACCTGGGAACCCTCCTACACAGGGCTGCCCCCCGATTTTTCACTCATGCTATGGTCAGCATCTGCTGGCAGGGCTTGCACTGCGGTCAGTGTCCACCTGGATGGTCCCCAGACCACAGTCGGTGCCTACTGAGGGACCCTAGCCACAGTCAGTGAGCTGTGGTGTCTGGTGATGGGGTCCCTGGAGCTGCAGAGTCTGGTGATGGGGTCCCCAGAGCTGTGGTCAGTGTCTAGTGGTGGGGTCTCCAGAGCTGTGGTCAGTGTCGAGTGGTGGGGTCCCCGGAGCTGTGGTGTCTGGCGGTGGGGTCCACTGAGCTGTGGTCAGTGTCGAGTGGTGGGGTTCCCGGAGCTGTGGTCAGTGTCTGGTGGTGGGATCCCCGGAGCTGTGGTCAGTGTCTATCCCCCCGTCCCTCACCTGCAAGCGGCCGCTCGTTCTCCGTCAGGTTGAAGATTTCATGGAAGTTGCCCTTCTTGGTGCCGTGGAAGCGGCTGGAGTCCTCCTCCCTGCCCAGGCTGGCCGGTGTGCTCGAGACACAGCTCCGTGAGGACGTGGTCTGGACCTGCAGACAGCAAGGCCCAGTCAGGCGTGGGGAGGGGCAGTGTGGGGGGCAAAAGACTCAGATGCACACAGGACCCCAGCCTTCACAAACCAGGCCGGGGTGCAGAGACCCCAGGACTGCCCATCAGTGTCCTGCCACAGCCACCCAGGTCCCCCAGGCAGAGAAGCCCCCTGTGGAGGGGTCTCTGCTGTTCCAGTCTCCCTACAGCTGTCAGACTCCGGCAGGCTAGAGAGCTCTGGTGGCCTGGGGGTAAGAAGCCACACTGCCAACTCAAAGGTACGTGGTTCAGATCCACCCGCTGCTCTGCGGGAGAAGGGTCAATACTCTCCAGTGTGATTTACATCCTCTGAAAACCTGCCAGAGCGTGAGCTATGTGCTCGTTGTGACTCGGGCCCACAACAGCAATAAGGTGACCAACAACACCAGGAACACACAGGCGGCACGCGGCCCGAGTCACCACACATCAAGGCCAGCTGCTGCCCTCTGTGACCAGCCTGGGGCACTGACAGGAGACCCTGCAGGCAGGACACTCAGAGGAGGCATCACACAGACCAATGGCAGAGCAAGAGCCCAGGAGGGCGGCACATGGACACGGGGGCCTGTCACAGCCCAAGAGCTGGCCAGAAGGAGAGAACAGGTCCATGTGGCATTGCAGAGACACAAGCAGGGACCGAGCCCAGGCACAGGGGCATCCCACTACACACACCCCCTCTCTCTCCTGGGAGGCTGGGGCTCCTTGACTTGACCCCCACCCAGAGAGCCCCTCCAAAGGCCAGGACAGGCATTCATCTCCCCTATGCGGTGAGAGGAGTAGATGTCAGAGTCTGGCATGGAGCTGCGCTGCTGACTGGAGTCAGTGACGGGGTGGGATGCTTGGAGAGTCCACACAGCTCAGTGCTTCTGGGACCCAGTGGCCCATCATTCTGCACAAACAGAAGCCCCTCCCTCAGGACACACACACACACCTATGCACCAATACACACATGCAGAAGACCCTGCACCCTAATGTCCCCTCCTCCAGCATTCCCCAGACCACCCTGGTTTCTGCAGGGCCTGGAAGTCCCCTTGCTGAGAGGCCCTGGGAGTGCCCACACATAGTACCCAGTGCCCAAGGCAGCTGTGAGTGCCCTTCTCAGGCACAGGTGGCCCAGGGCTTCCAAAACCTTAGAGAGCCAAGATTGGGGGGAGCAGCAGACACCCTGCTCAGCACCCTTCCCTTGGCCCGGTCCAGCTGCAGCCCTGCTTCCGAGGGGCCTCCAGGCCAGCTCTGCAGAGGCCTCACCTCCCCCCGGGGACCGAGGGACAAGCTACACCAGCGAACAGAAAACCCGTGCGTGTTGTGTAAGTGGCTCCACAGACCCCAGGAGACAGCAGCCCTGATGGGTGAGTGGACGCAGGGTTTCGGGGTCTCTCCCTGGCTCACCCGGCGAGACACGGTGGCGCTGGCCCGCTCCTTGAGCTGGGGGTCCGTGGGGAGGTTCTTCCAGATGATGTAGGGTGTGTCGTACTTGGCGCGCAGCCTCGGGCAGCGTTTAAACATGAAATCGATGAGGAAAAACTTGACCCCGGCGTAGAGCCCTGGAAGAGACACACTGTCAGACCCCGACTGCAGTCCCGGTCCTCTGGGGACCAGCCCCAGCACCTTCCACACCCCACAGATGGGGAGGAGAGAGCCAGGGCGCTGGCCAGGGCCACAGAGGGAGCTGGGGGCCAGTGCAGGGAGTGGGAGCTAAGAGCAGAGGTGGATCGGGGCCGACAGTGGCTGTGACAGTCCTTGTCATCTCAGATCCCCACGGCGCTCAGCCCGGAGGACACCCTAGAAATCAGAGCCACCAATACAGCAGGGTGGCCACAGCAGGTTCAGGACGCCCGGTGTAGTGGGCACGCAGGGACGTGGCACACACACTGTCCGGTTCCTGGGACGCAAGGCCTGTCCTAACAGCACCTGCGACATGAGGCCTGTACTGACAGCACCTGGGGCACAAAGCCAGTCCTGACAGCACCACAGTCCAGGAGTGTGGCCAGCACAGAAAGAAGCCCAGGGCACCGTGAGGACCCCAGGCACAGACACAGGAGGCCACCACCCACCCACAGCCCGTGGAAACGCCTGCTCACAACACTGGGCCAGGCACGCTGTGCTGCTGGACGCTGTGGCTGGCCCAGAGTGACCACTACCAGTGAACTTCAATGACAGCCCATCCAGGGGTCAGTGCACCACAGGCCACCAGCAAGCCAGCCCAACAAGGAGGGGGACATGGGACCGGGATTTTCTACAGATTTCCCTGTGAATTTGAAGCTGGTCTAAACTAGTCAATTGTCAAAGAGGGTGGGGGCTTCAGCCACTGTCCTCCCACCTCAGCCCGTCAGGAGCCCAGCTTCACAGGGTCTGCACTTGACATGAGGGCCCAAAGTGAACCGGAGGGCTCATCACAGTGGGACCACACAGGGAACATGCAGCAAGAGCGGCAGAGGGGTCAGGGCCAGGCTGCAGGCTGTACTGGGCAGGGACATGCTGCTGGCTGAAGGGAGGGACCCGTCCACCGCCCAGCACCTCTGTCCCCTGCCACGTCCCCACACTGTGACCACAGCAACACAGGCCGACTCCGCTGATGGGCGATTCTGGTGGCTGAGGTGTTCCACATTCCAGCACACTCAGCTAAGTCCCCTGGGCACGGCTGTCCTCCATTCACACGCCCATCTGTCTGTCTGCTCTCCCGGGTGCCCCTGACCCCAAACGTCTGTCCCTGACTGTTTGCAAAGTTAGCTGGAAGGGTCCCGTTTGTGCCGGTTCAGCCTCCACATGCCAGGAGGGTACAGAGGCAGGTGCTGTGCAGACACACGGACATTGGGGAGGCAGATGGGATGGACGCTGACGGGCCCCGCGCAGACACATACGGACAGCAGGGAAGGCAGATGGCTGGACACCAACTGGCCCCGTGCAGACACATGGACAATGGGAAGGCAGATGGGATGGACGCCGACGGGCCACACCACACCCACCCTCGCTTCCCCTTCCAGATGATAATGATGACTGGGGTGCCCTCTGGCACCACCCCACCCCTTTCCTCCCCGCGTCCTTCCTGCACTATCCGGGCTCACACTCACTTCTTGCTAAGGCCCTCACTGTTAGCTGAAAGCTGAGTGGCTGAGTGCTAAGGCCCTCACTGTTAGCTGAAAGCTGAGTGGCTGAGTGCTAAGGCCCTCACTGTTAACTGAAAGCTGAGTGGTTGGGATACACCCAGAGGTGCCTCTGAAGAAAGGGCTGGCAAACCAGCCAAGGACAGCATGCACGGTCTCCTCTCCCTTATATGGGTGGGTTGGGGTCCCAGTAAACACCGATTCTGATACAGCCTCCCAGCAGGTACAGAGGGCTCAGGGCCACGAGGCCGAACGCCAGCTCAACGCGCGGCAGTCAGACGGCATCCGTTCCAACCACCACATGTGTGCACAGCCCTGGGGGCCCCAGACGCCCATCCTTACCCATGGCAAGGCCCACCAGGCGGTAGGGGAAGAAGCAGGAGGCGAGGAAGGCGGCCCACAGCGCCACGTACAGCTTCTGTGTGATCTCGGGCTGCACCCACATGAACAGGCTGCAAGGGGGGAGTGGGCTCAGCGTGCACCTCCCACCTTGTCCCACTCCACCCTGCCCTGTCCCGCACCTCCCCACACGGCCTGCTGGCAGGGAGGGGGGCTCACTGCGGGGAGGAGGTCTGCACCACACAACCCCACCTTACACCTTGCAGCCCTACCCTCTCCCCACATCCTGCATCCCCACCATCCCAGGTGTACCACCCCCACCCAAAGCACCCTGTCCCACTCGCTCTCCCACCCCTCTCCTCCCCCCGTCCCCGTCCCTCCTGCACCCTCCAGGTTCACACTCACTTCTTGATCTTCTCCAGGATATCGGCCATCTTACCGAAGAGGTTCTGTGCAAAGAAACCAAGACAGCAGCACACGTGACCGCTCGGGACCAGGGGGCAGGGGAGGGAGGCCACAGATCGCCATGAGGTGTATGTCCAGGGGCCCAGCTCTGCGGCCCTGCCTCCCACCCCGGAGGAGGAGGAGGCCTTTGGCCAAACAGCCCAGCTCCGCTCCACACGTCAGGCTGACTTCAGATCTGCCCCCTGACAGTGGGAGGGGCTGCTGTCTGTGAGGGAGCACCTCTCACAGCTCCCTTCTCTCCACCAGGGGCTGTGGGCCTCAGGTCAACACCCAACCCGAAAAGGCCATCAGGGCCCACCACCACCGGCTCTGCAGCCACACCTGGGCTCCCCCACCCCACCACTGCTGGCCCCATCCAGGCCACATCGTACCTCTACCCTACATCCAGGTCTGGCTTGGGAACATACCTGCCCACCCCCCCACTGCTGGCCCCATGCCATATCTGGAACCCATCCCCCTCTTGCTGGTCCCATGTCACTCCTGGGCTCCCCCACCCCACCCCCCGCTGGTCCCCTATCACACCTGGGCCCTTCCAGGGCACTTCTGCACCTTTCCTCTACCCCCACCCAGGGCTGGAATGGGGACGTACCTGCACCCCCTCATGTCACAGCTGGGTTCCTCCAGGACATCTCTGCACCTCTCCCCTACCCCCAGGGCTGGCTCAGGGACATACCTGGACTCCCCCCACCATGTCACACCTGGGCCCCTCCAGGACATCTCCGCACCTCTCCCCTACCCCCAGGGCTGGCTCGGGGAGGTACCTGGGCTCCCCCCACCATGTCACACCTGGGCCCCTCCAGAATATCTCCGTACCTCTCCCCTACCCCCAGGGCTGGCTCGGGGAGGTACCTGGGCTCCCCCCACCATGTCACACCTGGGCCCCTCCAGAACATCTCCGTACTTCTCCCCTACCCCCAGGGCTGGCTCGGGGAGGTACCTGGGCTCCCCCACCATGTCACACCTGGGCCCCTCCAGGACATCTCCGCACCTCTCTCCTACCCCCAGGGCTGGCTCGGGGAGGTACCTGGGCCTTTTGGGCCACGTCCAGCACCAGCTGGAACTTCTCCGACACAGTCAGGTCTTCCTTAGGAGGTTCCTTCAGTCAGAGGAGAGAGGGGGGTTTCTGATAAAAACAGTCAGCAGTCACCCCACCCCATGAACTAGCTAGGGAGAGGGTGACAGGTCCCCCGCCCCCGGAAGTCCTCATTCTCACAGACATCTTCAAAGCTTCCCCTGGGGACAGTGTCAACCACCCACGGCTCCACATTACAGGTCGGGAGACTGAGGCCCCGACAGCCCAGGATGTCACTGTGGCCCTCTGGAAGCACCTGGGCCTTTCCTCACAGGGGTCGCTGACCGGGAGGCCCTCTCGGACTCACCACAGGTTCGGACACGTCAGGCACAATGCTCCACTGAATTCTCCAGCCCCTGTGAACAAGGGGCCAAGCGCGGACTCAGGTGACATGTGTCGCTAGGCCTGGGCGCCCAGCTGGGGAAGGGGTCAGCGGGGGGTGGGGGTGGGGCACCCACACCCTGCCGCAGCCGGGAGACCCTGGGGGACAAAGCATCCCTTTTCCAGGCCAGCCCTGGGCCCTTGGGCGGCACGTAAGAGCAGAAGGGAGAAAGGGCAGCCACAGCGCTGAGCAGCCGGGCTCAACTCGGGGTCACAGTGCTGAGTGGGGTCTTTAAACCTTTCTTTTCTAGAGAAAAGTGCAGAAGGAGCCCAGGGTGACCGAGGAGGATTAGCGCACAGAGAGGGACGGACCCCAAAGAGCAGCGGGTCTAGTGGCTGTTAAGTCGGGACAAAGGGGACCAAAGAAAATGAAGAATTCAAAATTCAAAGGCTCACAGCCTTGCCTGCTGCTGCTAAGAGCAAACGGCCTCGCCTGCCTGGCTGAGCTAGCAGGTGGCTCGTGAAGCAGAGCGGAATGCCCCTCCCTAAAGGCTCTGTCATAAAAACCCTCCCTAGTAAGTCCACAGTGTGACTTCCCCATCCTGCGTCCCCAGAATGAGGAACTCACCCGGGGGCTCCCTCATTCCCCCTCTGTAATAAAGCTGCATTAAGCTCCCTCTGATTTCTTCCTTAAGTCCGCTAACGTAACGGGGGATTCACCCAACAGGTCAGCTACTGGCCACACCCCCTGAAGGGTCCAGGAGGTGGGACGTGACTCTCTGGTTCCCACAGGCCCCTCTGTCCTCACCCCAAAAGGTACATGGGGTGCTCAGTGGAGAACAGATGAACGTGGACAGAGCATCGATGTCCATGGGCCCCGGAACTGCTAAAGCGTGGGTGGGGGCCATGCGAGAGTCCCCACATTCACGCTGGAGCTCAGCCCTGTCCTGACACCACAGAAAGGGGCACAGGGACCTTGCAACTTCATGGGCAGAAGTGCTGGGGTACCAGCTCTGGGGTTTGGGGAACACCCCGGCAGGGCCAATGCCTGATGCAGGGGAGCCAGGGCATGCCCACCCAGGGGTGCAGGACCATCTGAGGGCCATCGGGACCCTCCTCCAGCACACCGGGGAGGTGGGCACCGGCCAGGGTGTCCTCCCCCTATCAGGGAACCCTTCAATGTCAGTGCTGCTGAGGAGGGAGCCGCCCCTGTGGATGCATGGAGAGGCCCCCCAAGCTCCCCGAGACAGAGCCACACCCACCCAGCCCGGCACCTACCTGGCAATGAGGAAATTGAGAGACAATCGCAGGATCGCCAGGAACAAGAACATGGGGATGGCCCAGCCATGCCACACGGCGTTCATGTACACCTATGGACAGGGAGGGTCAGCCCAGGGCGGGAGGACGCAACCCTCCCTGCAGGGACCCCGAGAAACTGGCCGACAGGACACCACCCCTCCCCCCGAGGGACCCCGAGAAACTGGCCGACAGGATACCACCCCTCCCCCCGAGGGACCCCGAGAAACTGGCCGACAGGACACTGTGGATGCGATGGGTCAGTCACTGACACACGGCGAGGAGGATGCCACCCCTCCCCGAGGGACCCTGAGAAACTGGCCGACATTGCACTGCAGGCAGGGCGGGTCAGTCACCAACACCTAGCCATGTACACCTCTTCCCAGGCAACCCTGGGGAATTCGGCCACAGGACACAGTAGGTGGGATAGGTCAGTGACCCGGATATACAGCCATGCGCATCCCTCCCAGAGGGATTCCCCGGCCAACAGAGCAGTACTGAGTGGGTACTTTGGGCAGAGGCATTGCTGGGCCCCTGTGGGACGTGATAGAGGCGACTAGCCATGGGCTGAGAACCTGCTAGACCACAGGGTCCTGGGTCCTTTCCCTGTGTCCCACCTGTCCTCGCAGGAGCTATGGCCCTGGGTGGACACTAAGAAAGGACAGGACCGGACTTGAGGAGCTTCAGGTAGTGTCCTGGGAGGGGCCTGGCTTGTGAGACACCACTGGCTTCTGTGTCACAAGACTCGGGGCTGAACCTCTGGGCAGGGCAGGCCAGGACAGAGGGACACGTACACTTTCACGTTGGCCTGTCATCTGTGTGCACAGTGCTCTGTTCCCAGTGCTGACTGGGCCTCTCAGGAAACGCCAGTGGCCAGCCCCAGGGGAGGGTGGTAGCCCAGCCACACCTGAGACCCTGGTGCCCACTGACCACTGAGGGGAGGGTGGTGGCCTGGTCACACCTGAGCCCCCAGTGCCCGCTGACCACTCACAATGAAGGCGATGGCAGACGTGTAGACAGAGTACCAGTCGGACAAGGCAGAGAGGTTCTTGACAAAGCTGGTGACGGGCTTGGCACCACGCTCTGGGGGCACAACAAAGATACTGTGGTCAGTCCTGTCATTGTGGACACAGCCTGGACCTCTACACACAGCATGGAGCCAGACAAGCAAAGCTCCCAGAGTCTACAACAATCTCGTGTCCTGCAGCCAGCCCTCAGCACTGTCCTTGTGGAAGACATCTCTTAGTCCACCTGCAGCAAACCGGTGTCCCTCAGCCACCCCGTCACTGTCCGTGTGGGAGAAACCCCACAGGCTGCACTGCCTGACACAGTGACAGGGCAGATGGGAGAAGGAGGAACCCAGGCCACAAGCGTGTGGGAGGAGCTCCCCTTGCAGCGATGGGCAGGAGGACATGGGAGAGGCATGTCGGAAACAAACACCCTTATGGGAGTAGGGAGAGGGAGTGGCCCCATACATGATGGGAAGGGTCATCTCGGGAAGCAGCTCAGATCTGCTCAAGAAACTAAACAATGCATTATGGGGTGGGGGTGGGGGATGCTGCCAAAGACCACTTGAAAGTGCTAAAGAGCACGATGTCAATAGAGGACTAAGGTGCACCTGACTCAAGCCATGCCTTTTCAATCTCCTCATATGCACGTGAAAACTGGCCAACGAAGAAAAGAGACTGACCAGAAAAAGAGGTATCTTTGGATTGGGATGTTGGCAAAGAATACGGACTATGCCATACACTCTCAGAAGCATGAGCAGATCGGTCCTGGACGAAGGGCAGCCAGACTTCTCCTTAGAAGCAAGGAGAGTGAGACTGCATTTCACGTACTCTGAGTACATTATCAAGAGGGGCTAGTCCCTGGAGACCAAAAGCATCATGAGAAAGTTAAGAGCATTCAAAAACAAAACCAAAAAAGCAGGAAGCCCCTTGATGAGATGGCTTGGCCCAGTGGCTACAACAATGAACAGGCACAGCAAGGATGACATGATGATGAGAACGATGAGATGATGATGATGATGACGAGGGCCATGAGATGGTGAGATGGTGGGATGGTGGGATGGTGAGATGGTG